TGTATTAGGCAAGCTCACGTATTTCAAGTCGGCGCGGCTCAAACTGCAAATATGATTGAAATTAAATATTGTGTGTGTATTTCGAAAATCAATAAATAATTGTAGCTGGATAACATAAATATATAAAAAAACATACTGAACTAATTTGTTTATATATTAAAGGAAATATTTTCTTGTATTTTATGTTTACTTCAGAATAAGTACATTATGAAATTAACACACACAAATGTTCTATATGAATAGGAAAATAATTTAGTTTGATATTATGATAGGGAAAAGAAGCTAGTTTAGTATTAAAACGTTACTTTTCCAAGTTAGAAACATTGAAATGCGTTATAATCTTTTTAAAGATACTCGTTAATACCACTATAATGCCGATCTCTGATTACGGTAATAAAATAACTCTTAACTAATAACTATGAAAAAGACATGCAGATTAACACCTTTAGTTATAGATAGTCACCAGCAATATGGACACCCTCTTTCAATTTTGTATCAAAAATCATCATGGAGCCGCGCCGACTTAAAATACGTGAGCTTGCCTAATACAAAAGTTTACTTTATTGAAATTATTTCATTCTTTTTAGAGCGTTTGAAGTCGGTTGTATTTTTTTACAAAAATAAATTATTTCATGATTTTTAGTGACTGTATAATTTTTTATATATTAATTATTTGAGGATTTTTGATAAGCAAAACTGTTTGACACAATCAAAAGTTCCACAGAACAATCATTATTTTAAAACTGCTTGAGTCACCTGTTCAGGTTACATAATCAATGGGTATGAAAATAAACATTTTTAGATATTCCTTAAGAAAGAAAGAGTTGTCCATTACATTAGGCCTAGTGAAAAACTAATTGTCTTTTCTAGATACATTGAAATGTCAGACATAATCGTTTCCTGCAATCGGTGTACTTCTACATTATAAAAAGAAATACAGTAACGTCTCAAGCCTTTTGAACAATATGAAAGTTATTCCTCAGCTACCAGCACTAAAAATCTCTCAAAAGTGGAAAATTGGTCGTTAACACGTATAGTACCTTTGGAAAATATTATATGAAAGATTGGTTCAGCTAAAAGTGGTGTAAGTCATGTAGGGGGTTTTGTTTGCTTAAGATATAGCCTAGTCGAAATTGCAAATCATCTTCCTCTAGGACTTTCCGAAGCAGGCATAATAGTATTGATATGTTATAGTAACTGGGTGTAGAGAATATTAATAAACATTCCACATCTGCAAATGAAAAATGTATATGAAAGATTGGTTCAGCTGAAAGTGGTGCAAGCCATGTAGGTGGTTTTGTTTGATCAAGATATAGCCTAGTCAAAATTGCAAATCATCTTCCTCTAGGACCTTCCGAAGCAGGCATAATAGTATTGATATGATATAGTAACTGGGTAGAGAATATCAATAAACATTTCACATCTGCAAATGCATGTTTAGTAATTAAAATATTTAACACTTTTAAGACAATTGACGATTATGCACTGTCACACTTCTTAGGTCGTGTAAGGAATAATTGCATTAAATTTATATTTAGACCTGTTTAACGAATGCTTTGGTTTTCACAATACACCTTTATTTGCCAATATCATACAGCTATTCACTGAAACATATATGTTTTTGTAACTCAGAATATTCAATACTAAAAACAGAATTACTGTATACACAAATCAGGTCAAACGTTAAAATACATTTTTTATAGTAACCAAAACAAAATTCATTTTTCTCAATGTAATTCATTTAGGCTCCATGGCAAGAAATAGTTTATTGATCAACTAGCTGTGTACCCGTTCTACGCACGGGGATCTTATAATATTCAGTTGAAACCTTCTTATATAAAGAACAGCAGTTGGTTTGCATATTTTAAGATATGCTGGCCAAACTATTATACATAGCTTCATTTTATGTTGTTTTTTGTTGTTCCGGATCGGTATGACAATCAATAAAAGGTTAAATTACCTCTGTGTCTGCCGGTCGATCCTATAACGGTAGGCTTACTTTTATTTTTACTATCTGATCTCGTTTGCATGGCTCAATCACGTCCTGGTTGAAGTTCGTTCGCTACGCTCACTCACCTGTATGTTGGAGCTCGTTCGCTGCGCTCACTTTCCTTCAGGTTAGCTCGTTCGCTACGCTCACTTGCCTTCAGGTTAGCTCGTTCGCTACGCTCACTCGCCTCCAGGTTGCAAATTAGCTGTTGTCATAAATGTAAAAGAAATAATAGTGCTAGTGCTGCACCCTGTTGGTAATCCTTGTAACTTTAATGCTATTGAACATCACAGAACAGAACCAACTTGTTTAATTGAAACAGCTGTTAAGATTCAATAATTTCATTTCTCATAAGGTTAACATGGGCTTCCAGAAATTCCACGTCAAAAATCGACAAAAACTTGATTTTCAAGGGTTTACTGTTAAATATCTAACTGTCTCATATTCGATGAAATACGTCTAAAACCATCTCATATATGTATAGTATTTGGAAAATAAGTTTCAGGCGGGACAGTGCTATAGTTATTGAGGAGTAGTTGTAATAAAGTGCGTATTTTAGCGTTACCAAGAGAATGACAGATAGACAGACAGACAGACAGACAGACAGAAATTGAGATAAGGTTTGATTCGGTTTCTCTGACCTATGAAATGTAAAAATAACCAAAAAGTTCATTATTCTAAGCAATGTACAGACAAAACTCTAATTTTATTTATATAGATATGAAGAAACTGTTTCATGAAGAATTGTCTGTAGCTTCATTTAAATGGTTTCAACTAACAGCTGTAGGAATGTTATTATTATTTATTGCCTTCTCTGCACAAATGTAAACAATCTGCACAAATGTAAACAAAATAAATGTTGAATATTTAAGGTTTTCAGAATCTTTCACCGAAACAAATATTATACTTAAACATAATATATAAGGTACCAAATAGAAACTCTCCTGGTTATTTTGGTGGTGGAACCACACTGATCTGTAAAAGAATCCCAGAGAAATTGGTGAACATACATAGAAAAAAAAAAAACATCGCCACAGACAAATTGAGAACCTCCTCCTTTTGTTGGTAGTGGGGAAGTCGGTTAAAAAAGTCAGCTTTATTTGATGGTTCATAAGTGGACCAGCTGTCCTCCATCATTGGAATTTTAATAAATGGTCAGCTGATCTTACTGGACTTAGTAACTCATTCATTCTATACACCTCCTTCGCTCATCTTACCAAGTTGTCTCATTGTAAATCTTATTAAATCTTATATAATCTATGTGTTTCAATCTGTTACAAAGTTTAAAACAAATCAAATTAGAAAATAATTGGAAAATATAGTAAGAGTAAGATCTCTTTAACTCGACAATTTGTGGAGGTTGTTCGGTTTGGGGGTTGTGGAGTTATCCAGAACATTAAAAATTTTAATGAGTTTAATGAATTAATTCATAACAGACTAGTTTTACATAAAAATTTTGAGTATTTTTACATTATCAAGTAAACAATCTTATAAGAAATGAAAGGAAAGAAAACTTGAAAGGTCAAATACAATAGTAAGACAAAGCCAGCTAGTCTTACGACCTGTCAGCTGTTGACTGTCAAGTTAGTGAGATATTACTGTAGAAACAATGTATGATGGCTGCCAACAAGTAATTTTCATAGGGAAGCAAACTGGTTTCATCAATCAGGAAAAGATTCCCCCATTTTTGTTTGTTATTGTATTACAGTACACACTTAATCTATATATAGGGTGTCCCACGAAGGGGGTTAAACGTTTGATTTTATATTACGTGCCCATTCATGCACCGAACCTTTTTAAACTTTACACAGTTTACAAAGTAGGTTCTAAAAATATTCTGGAAAAATTTCAACTCCCTAACCTTAGTAGAAACAAAATGGCGGCTTATTGACAAATTTACCAATGTGCTTTCTATAAAAACTACTTTCATGATTTATTATTAGTTATTTATTTATTATTATTATTTATTAGTTATTTGATTAATTTTTAGTTTTCCATTTGGCTATGTTCTAATTTTTTCTTGTTTTAAAGTCATATTGCCCTGGAAAGTAACAATAAAAATATTTTATAAAACCAAAAATACCCTTTTTAATGTTTTAAAGTAACTTTTTCAATATGCCGCCATTTTGTTTCTACTAAGGTTAGGGAGTTGAAATTTTTCCAGAATATTTTTAAAACCTACCTTGTAAACTGTGTAAAGTTTCAAAAAGTTCGGTGCATGAATGGGCGCGTAATATAAAATCAAACGTTTAAACCCCTTCGTGGGACACCATATAAAATCCAATGTATGTTTGTTTGTATGTATGTATGTTTGTCCTTTATGGATTCCGAAACCGCTCGACAGATTGTAATGGAACTTTCAGGCATTATTAAGCATTATTTAGGATGGTTTGTGTGAAGTTTGGTGCAGATCCGTCAAAAGGGCTCCGCCCCAGTGGCTCTTGAGTTTCCCATGTTAACCTTATGAGTACTCATATTTAAATGGAATTAAAGATTCTTAACAGCTGGTTCAACTAAAGAATTTAATTCTGTGATGTTCAATAGCATTAAAAAGTTAATAGGTTTACCAACAGGGTGCAGCACTATTATTTTTTCAATTTATGACAACAGCTAATTTGCAACCAAAAGGTGAGTGAGCGTAGCGAACGAACTTCAACCTGGAGGTTAGTTAGCATAGCGAACGAGCTAACCTGAAGGCAAGTGAGTGCAGCGAACGAGCTCCAACCTAAAGGTGAGTGAGCGTAGCGAACGAACTTCAACCAAGGCGTGATTGAGCCATGGGAACGTGCTCATCTTGAAAGTGAACGAGCATTTGACATAAAACCACATTAGGACAGGACGACGTCTGTCGGGCCAGCTAGTGATTATATAAACTACACAGATATATTTTGGACTCGTTAAGCTGTCCATACCGGTAACCATACACAGCCTTATTTATTTTATTATTTTGTCAGAATAATATTTGTAGGTGCTATATCTAAACATTTTCTAAATGTGTTTATTTTTCCAGATGACATGATTGAGACGGAAAATGAATCAATACGGGAGAGAGTATCAGACTTGGAGAAGAAGGTGCTGGAGCAAGGAGATGAGATTGTGTGTCTGAGGTCAACTTTGGCCGATGTTCTGCGGAGACTCAATCAGCTGGAGGGGTCTCGGCCCGTCACTACACCACTCAAGAATGGCTCTCTCAGAGGTAGTTGTTGAAGTCATTGGTATTTCTGTAGAGAAAATCACAATGTTTTGAAGAAAAGAAATCCAAACTCCTCAAATGTTTATAGATGTTATGCCAAGCGGAGGAAAATATCCTTCCGCAACAAACCATCTGCAGACTAAATTAATTTCCATTTGCCTTATTGGATGTTTACTATTTAGAATATTTAGGCGGTTTTATGTGAAGAAATCTATCCCCTCCACTTGACTCTTACCTTTAAAATAATAGCTCAACAGCTGATTAAGCAGCATACAATATACAAAAAAAGTAAAAGGGAACTTCCCCTCAAACCGCCTAAATATTGTTAACGAAGTATAAAATATTTCCTCAATAATGACAGATTTATTCCCCTTTTTTAATGAAAGTAAATACAAAATACTCTAACATTACTTAAAACACATATTTACACTTATCATGTTAACTCACAAGACGGTAAAAAAGATGGTAAGTGGTGATCGATTTTCATTGGACACTCCAATCATCATCAGACCCTATGCTGAATCTTTTCATAACATGAGTTTCAATTATTTCTTAAATTTTCTACTACAAGGAAGGTGATAAAGTGTGTCTTTTAGTAAAATGATGAGAGTTTGCCTATCAATTAGCAAGCAAACGAGATTTTATGGAAAAACTAAAGATCAGCTTTTCAATTTTCCTTTCAACAAATCCTTCCACCCTAATTCTATGTTTCTGTTTCAGCTGTGGGTAATCACACAGTCTCACACAACAACCACACAGTGCTTGGCTCACAGAAGGACCTGCGCTACAGACCCAACCCTTCCCCTGACACTAACAGTAACAAGGAGCCGGTGAGACGAGTGCCGAGCTATCAGACGCCTTCATCTCTCCCACAGAGGTAGTGTACTGCGGCCTAATTGTTAGAAAACATAGGGAGACTAATGAGTTTATTGTATGGTTATATAACACTGTGCATTTGTGTATTACCGATACATATTCAATCAATATATAAGGGCTGTTCGGAGAGTGACTTCCGTTTTTCTATAAAACAGAAGTAGAAAAAACTTTTATTATACACATCTTAAAACTATGTCTTTCCTCTACTTTCGATATAGTTTCCTTGGACATTTAAACACTTATAATATCTGTGGACTAACTTTGAAATTCCCTCTAAAAAAATCCCCCGCCAGTGTCTTCAGCGATCCCGTGACTGCATCTTTTAGTTCCTCATCATCGTCAAATCGCTGGGAGCCAAGGCATTTTTTCATGTGATTGAAGAGGTGGTAGGCGCTTGGAGCCAAGTCTGGGCTATATGGAGGATGCGAAAAAACATCACATTTGAACTGGTCCAAAAGGTTCTTGGTTTTCTGGGCAGTTTGAGGAGTGGTTCTTCAGAGTTTCAACGTACGAATCCTTATTGATTGTTGCACCACATTCCATAAATTCAACCAGCAGCCCCTTTGGAGTCCCAAAACACAGATGCCATGAATTTTTTTAAATCTTGCCGGGCTTTTGTTGGTTTGTGTGGCGATACCATTTGACCCCAAAACTTTGACTATACTTTGGTCTCAAGATTCACGTTCTTGACCGAGGTTTCATCGCCAGTCACAATTTTGTTAAAACAAGTTTCTCCTTTCTTGTTGTATTAAGACAAAAAGTCCAGAGCCGAGGTCATTCGTTGTGTCTTGTGGTTCTCCAAAAGGATTTTCGGGACACACCGAGCACAGTATTTATGGTAACATTACCTGTCAGTCACAACTTCGTACAGAACAGTCCTGGAAATTTATGGGCACTCGTCCTAAAGTTTTGAGATGGTAAATCGTTGGTTGTCACGAATCTTTGCCTTGATTTTCTGAACCAGTTCATCACTGACCACAGATGGCCTTCATCATTTTTTTTATTTCTTCATCATGCACATTCGTTTGGACATTTTTAAACAAGCTACCCCATTCCTGAACAACTCCTTCACTCATTATTTTAGGTCCATACACAGCACTAAGTTCTCTACGAATAGCTGTTGGCAAATACTGTTAAGCTACAAAAACCGAATCACAGCATGCACCTCACACTTGGTGGGATTTTTGTTTGCAGTACTCATTTTGACTAGCGACGGCAAAAAAACTAGAGCTCAGACGACCTTTACACCACCACGGCTGGAGCAGGCGCTAGAATGGCGGCACTACCCCCTACACTTCCTGCGTGAGAAGTAAACGGAGGTTATTTTCCGAACTGCCCTTGTATTTACCCTCAAAATAGGCGCTATCATTGACTTTTAGCCTTTCAGGTACAACTGGATACAGACTTTTGAGCAATCTGAATAATCGTTGGCCTAATTGCCAAAGTTATGTAAACTTGTTATTGTCTTAAAAAGATAGCCCAGAGGCCAGAAACTTGAATTTTAACAGATAATTGGTTTATTTTATTTTTATAATTTGGTTAAATGATACCCAGTCACCTCAATAAGCAGTTTAAAGTCTTATTCTAAACAATCAGTTTATTTAACGAGTGTTTGGACTATTAGCAATTTATTTTTTTCTAAGGGACTGTTTTGTTGTTGACACACTGTTATTTTTGGTTTGCATGCTTATCAGTTAATGTATTTTTGGTTTTAGTTGCACTATTATAATTTGTTTTACAGATTACACAAGAATTTTGGTTCTCTGCGAACACTCAGCAGATTGCACCAGGATACCCAGAGTTCTTTGAGAAGGTTTCTTGAGTTATTATTACAGCTTTTTGCTGCATTTGCCAAACTGTGAAATAAGAAAACGTGTTGACAGCTTTGGTTTTTGGTGTCAGTCTTTTAATGTTTTTCCGTATTGTTTGCAGCTTGAGTGTCAATAATCAAAAGCAATCATACAAACATGTTGCTTTTAGTTTTTGTCAGTGTGCAAGTTTTTTTCTGAATTTGTGAGTAAATTCCATGTAAGAGTAAGAAACTGGTTGAATTTGTTTATTACACGAATTTTATTCACACCAAGAACCTGTTTTAAGGGTACACTATGAGAAGTTAGAATTTGTTGAAGGGGTGGTTTTTGAGAACTACATAAATTGTCACACAATTGCCACAAATAAGAACATTACTACAAATTCAATCAATCTCTGTTTGAATTTAATAATCTTATTGCTGGATATATGTTTTTTTTTTTTTTTTTACTAACCAGAATATTCAGTGTTTTTACTGTTTTACTATTCTAAATATTTCATTTCTAGCAAACGATTTTGTCAACGCATTTTGTTACAAAATCTTAGAAAACCTAGGTTTGTTGTTACAGTTGGTATAAACATGGCTATTTTCCAAGGCCTGTTTGTATAGGGATCTCGAGGTGTATATAGGCATCCATTGTAATTTGGATTATTTTTTTTCTGTATTAGGAAATATTTGTTAAAATCAAGCTTCAATAAAATATAACTCACTTAGTTGCAAATGCACAATTAATTGATTATTTGATTAACTAAATAGTAGACTTAGGCTTCGGTAGATATTTGCATTTTTACTTATGGGAAAAATATAATATATAGAAATAATTGTTTTTTGATTTAAATAGAACCGATATTGTTTTCCTAAAATATTAGTCGATCTGACTCAGGTAACTTCATAGTTCCTGAACTAGCTGTTGTTTTTGATGGGCACTCGCTCGATTCTTTTCCATATGTAAATGTGTATTTTGTCTAGTAAAGAAGTGGATCGTTTTTATTGTGTGTTTTATGTGACTTTGCAACTTAAGCTTATTTTGTTGCATTTTGCTGTTAAAAAGGTGGACAGTTTAGATATAGTGTTATTGGTGTATAAATAATTGTAAAAATTATGTATTGTATTTGATAATTTTTTTATTCTTGTTTGGAGGAACATAAACCCATATAAAAAGTAATAACATATTCTTTTTGGTTCTTTTCAGCGTTAACTTTAAGTAAAGCTTAAACAGATAAATTTTAGCTAAGAAATAGTTTTCACCGTATTACTAAACTGGAATGTGAACCACTCTGAAATACTTAAGTTTCCTAAACCTCTACAGCTAATTATGATCTCGCTTTTAATTTAGTTTCGGTGAACTAATATTATTTGTACCTTTTAATTTTGGTACTGCTATACATTTTTGGTTGGTACACATTTTTGTTGGGTTCATGTAGACATTTTTAAATTTTGACTACTGTGGTACAATTTAACTCTGTTGTTGTGAACTTATGTCTTAAGCCATTTGATAAGTTGTGCCCTCCAGGTTTGAATGAGCTGTATATGAGCAACATGTTTATAGCCGATAGCCACTTCAAGTTAAAATCCCAAGCTGCGTAATCCTCCGAGGGAGAACAAAACATGTTAACTGACTGTTAAGTACCAAAATTATGCTGAACGCAGCACTGCTATCGATCTATATTTAATTCTATTTGTCTATGCTAGTGGGGTCTGTGCAACTGTTGTTTTGTTTTTATCTCTGAGATCGGATAGCTTGACTTAACCTGACTGGCTGATGTCATTGTATGATGAGGTGATCAAAGTCTTTGTTCCAGAAGAGTGGTCCACTACCAGTCCACGGGGTCGCTACACTCAGACTCTCCCAGCTCCAGCAGTGTGTCGCCTGTCCCCACCTCTCCCTCTCCCTCTCCCACTCGCCCCTCGGCCAAGACACCCCCAGCCACACACCCACACACCCCCTCTGGCAGTCTGTTTCTCAGCAAACGATGGAGCTCTACGGGAGACTTCAACAGTGTCAACAGTCCTTCTCACAGTTCTAGGTATGTTTGGTAAAAAACATAGGTTAGGATCGGTTGTTTAGAAAATAATGCCTGGAAGTAGTAAAATTTTGGTCAGAACCCATGTTGTAGATTCATTGGCGGTTATTAAGGGGTCTTGGAGGACGGCCACCCCTCCACTTTTAGGGGGCTCTAAAAACTAACCCCATGCCTCTGAGTGGTTTTTGCCTTCCCCTCTTACTTGCAATGGTCAAATGCCGCTATGGGGTGTATTATGCAAATGCAGGTTTAGGTGTTTTTTATAAATAATCTGTCAAACATCAAAACATTTTGACGGTGAGGAGTAGTAAACATACGGAGTCCTGAAAATATTTTCATATGGCTATATAACCCAATGTTCCCATAACTGCATTAGAACATTTTTCTTAATCTTCGCATTGTGTCTGTCTAATTTATCTAACACTCATACACCTCGCATTTATAAGTAGGGCAATAACTTTCTGCAAGCTCTGACACTTCCTGGTTTCAATACTGCTTCTCTCTTGCCTTTTGAAATAGCTACTTGCTGTTCACCAAACAATAAAACAACAAGTATCCAGGATTCTACTTTGGGATCAGGCCATCTAGTCGGGTCACTTTCCCTAGTGACAGGGATAGAGCACCCTTGTAATTGTGCTTTAGTCATTTGTAGTGAATCATCTTGTATTGCGAGAGGAGTGGACTCGTAGTCCAAGCAGGTCAACCGAAGCTTATTGTGCATGGAGATGTGAATAATCGTATAATCCAGACCCTGCTCACTTATACAGCTCGCGAGTTATGAGTTTGTAGTAGATAATTTTGTAGAAAGCATATAATGTATGTTTGTACAGTAGTTGCATCTGATGTGGGCAAATAAAGTATTCTCAGAAGAAACCTAGCTTTTTGACCCCTGTAGGTGAAGTTAACGTTGTCTACGACCTTAACTCATTTTTCTACTCTAAGCTAAATAAGAACGCAGGTTGATTTTAGGGGCGGGCATTAATTGCGCCAACTGACCTGAGTCAGGTAGTCGGGCATTCCTGAATTGCCCCAACTACTCCAGGGAGCCACCCGATATGTTTATTAACTGCAAGTGGCGGCCGTCTTTGACTGTATAATTGAGTAGGTTAGGTTAGATTAGGATGACACGTTTATAAACAAGGTCACTCCTTCTGCCGGCAACTCACCCCAACCTGGCATGGGCTTGGCGTAACTAAGGAACATTTTTTGGGCCCCTTTGAGAGCTTGGTGCAATTAAGGAACACTTTTAGCACAATATTAATGCACAACCGATTTTAGAATGAAGAGAGATTATCAATTGGGATGTAAACTTCACCTAGGTGTGTATTTTAGTCATCGGTAGCTTTCTTACCCCTTGAGAAGTTCCTTAAAATAATGAAAATTATTAACAGACTGCTTTTGTTTATTAACCATAAAACTAATTTGCACATTAACCATCACAGTTTTATTTGTGGAATAGCTATGTACTAATACAATTTTATGTTAAATTGTATCTCTAAAAGTTAAAATAAGGAATTAAAAAGAAAGTTAGTTATTGATTATTGAAAACAATAAAATTAGAAAGAGGTCGAAAGAACTAAAAATACTTAAACAAGTTTATAAAGCACATCATTCGCTGCATGCGCAGCGCATGTCAGATCTCCATAAAGCAGTTGCTGCCAGAAAGAGCAGTTTTTACTGGGTGTTGGCTAGATAAGTAATAACACAAAGAGTTTGGTGAGATATTTACTCTATTAATTTATGATTGCGTGTAACTTTAGCATGCCTCGACGCCCTTCCTTTCTGCTTTGTACCACTTTGTGTTTACTAGAGTTATTTCTTATCCTCTTGCGTGCAATTTGCGATTTTACCCCAAGATTATAATAAAATTCCCTATTTATTATTTAACCTCAATTACAGGTATGTTTTTAATGGATCATAGGCAAATTTAAAAAAATCTATACACATCAGATTTATTAACTGTTTGAATTTATTAAACGGTTTGTCTAAACAGTTAGTTATTCCTGTTGATATTTTATCGATTGAAAGTATATTGGGATTTGGATTGGAGATGCAATAAAACTTAATACGGAAGCATATTTTGATAGACAGGATTATGTTTGGATTAATAGAATAGTATTTTTAAATAAATCATCAATGATTATTTTCCTAATTTCTCCATTGTTCACTCACTTTTCCAGTTTTTTTAAAATTTAAAGTTTAACAAAAAAAAAATTAAGAATCTATATAGTGGTCTGTCTAAAACTGTTAGCTGCTTTGAAAGTATACATTGATTGTTAGTTATTTATTTTACAATTCATTATTTTGATTTATTTGTTTATTTACATTTTGGTTGTAGTTCCTATTACAAAACCTTTAGTTCAATCATTATTGTTTTGTTATATGTAATTTGGTTTCACATTTTTAGTTTCATCTGAGCACTGTTTTTTGTTTTGTGTTCAGGCTTGCAACAAAATCACTGTTTAATTTGTACATGAAGCCCAACCCATTGCAGAATCACTCTCCACAGCTTAAACATGGGTTTGTATTTATTTTCTGTATTACATTTTAGTTTTAGGCTACGGCCACACTAGGCGACATGGTTGCCCTGACCTGGACCACGACTTGGTCACGGGAGATGGTCACATTGAGTGATTTTGAATTGTTGTGATGACCTTTTAACAATTAAGGAGGATCTGTTGCTATTTAATTGAATGAATATTTAAAAAAGGAAGAGGAAACTCAGATATGGAGTAAATTCCCTGAAACATTGTTTTTATCAAACCCCACCACACATTGTTAGGGATAATGCACTGTATTTTCAAATATTACATTATTTGTTGCTGTATTTTCAGATAAGCATAGCTTTGACAAGCTAATGAAATTGAAGACAACGTTGTAAAAAGTACACCAGGTTTTGTATACCTATTGCACCAGTAGAGAAGATACTTAATCCTAAAGTGTTCCTCTCATGATCACGCTTGTTTTGTCGATGAAAATGTCTGTATTTTGACTACCGGTACATATTTTCCATATTTTACCACTGCCAGACCAAAACTGAACAATATATACATGAAAACAGTCCAAAAACTGGGTGTGTGTGCGGGAGTGACTTGTTGCCTAGTGTAGCCGGTGCCGTAAGATAATATTGGGAGCGTTTGTTGCAGCGAATGAAAAAAGCTCGTGGAAGCATTTTTTCTGTCGCTAGTGGTCGCTGGTCGCTTATTGTGGCCATTTTCATTAAATTTAATGTTGCTCACTTTTATTTTTTGTCACAGGGACTAGTCACTAAGTGTGGACGTAGCCATAGTTTGTCAGTATTAACTGCACTGTCATTTTGTTTTTGGTTTTGTTGTACAGTATATGATAAACTTGCTTCGATAGATATTCCATAAGTTTGTTTTAAAAAATCTTAAAATTGAAGTCCAAGTATTCATGAACCTGGGAAAAGAAACTTGAACATACGTTCCTTTCATAAAAAATTAATGGAGGTTTTTAGACACAGTTCTACGCCTAAAATGGCTTTACGAAAGTTATCCAAACGGATTTTATAATACCTAATTTTCCTCCCCCCCCTGTAGCCCCCTCCTTGACAAGTCCCTAGATCCACCACTTACAAAAATTTTAAATTTATAAATCATTTTGCTTGCTTAGATCAACCATTTTAAAAATGTCTTGTTCTATTACAAATTTTGGGAATCTAAATGTTTTTTCTTAAAGTGAGGTTATATGTCATGTGTTTGTTGGTTGGAATTTTTTTAGTGTCAACCCCGATAATAATATTAAACCTGGTGGTAACTATCCAGGAGTCAATTTCCTGTATTGACCTGCGTCCATTGCATGGTCAGTGTTCCATGGATGAGCATGTGGGTGCCCTCAAGAGTTCTGCAATGTTGACCTTCAAATTCTCCCCTCTACTCCTCTCTCCCTCCCCCACTTGCCATCTATCTCTCTGCAGACAGTTTCAGTTAGTGATGGGCGATACGGACGCGTATCGCGATACAGCGATACGATACGTATCGAAAAAAAATATCGTATCGCCGTATCGAATCGGGCGTCTGTATCGCGATACGTGAATCGTATCGTCAAAAATATCGAAAAACGATACGTATCGTATCGTTTTCCCCCTCCCCTACCTAACCTAGAAGCGGCAAATTAATATTAGTATCTGGGGACCAAGCTTTGCTCGGGGAAAATCATTAGTTTACTCTGAAAACAGTCTTAGTATTGCAGATACATTCATTAATCCATTTCCACACTCGACACTGCTTACTGCTCGCCTTTACTACTTCCTTCACAACTCCCTACGTCTTGGACCTGTTTCCCTATCCTTCCCATAGAATTTTAGGATTTCAGATACATTAATGTAATTGCCACAGACAGTTCCCACCACCGCCGCCTACACTCTGCACTGCTAGTGCTAGATAGCACGCTAGTGGAAATGAAATGGACTGGACTGGGATGGGACTGGTACATTATCAAGTAAAAACCAAAACTACAGACGTCAAAAACTCCTATTTCAAACCACTTTCAAACTACACATCCACAGAGTACAGTAGTACAGATTTTGCAGTTTGCTCGGCCTGCGTAAAAAAAGCTTAAAAATATCGTTTTGACATGAATCGTATCGCTCTATGTGCCGATATAAATACAAATATCGTTTTAGGCGATACGATACGTATCGTTTTTCAAATATCGTATCGAAATATCGTATCGTCCCTCGCGTATCGCGATATTCCGATACGATACGATACGTATCGCACATCACTAGTTTCAGTCTAGTCCTGTTAGTGAGTTGTGTTCAGAAGACATTGGTCTGTTCTCCTCAAAATGAGTTTTGGCAAGAATAATTCCAGGTATTAAATCCCCATTGTGTTTTAGGAAGTAAATTAAATTTTTTTACCTTTTTTATATTTGATTTAATTAATTATATCCTATTGTTAGTATATAAACTATTTTAAAGTACCTATATTAATAAAGAAATTCATCCTAAATATTATAGTGTTAAGTAAATACATCAATATAAATCAACAGTAAAAATACTATGAATTGATATTTTTTCTTAATGTTTTGAATATTTTGTTCATCCACAAATACCAAAACACTGTTATTGTCTCAGGGGTTTTTTAATAGTAACACAATTCAAATTGTTCCAACTTTATCACAATGGTCTCTTTTATTTTATTTGTATTTAAACATGAATACTATTGCTATGGAGGATATGGCCAGGGCCTGATTAAGGGTCTAGTCGCCAGTAGGCTGACGTTTTTTGGGATTCTTGGTCAGTGTCCAAAATTCTGAACATTGCTATTGGGATAGTTATGGTACGGTATAAATTGATTTAAGTTTAACATCATAAAAAATATGTAATACCGACGATCAATATTTGTTCAAACAACTTATAATATTATCATTTTAGTGACAGTTCAAAACCAGTTGTTAAACCAAATTACGCGTACATTCAAATAACTTAAAACACTAGTATCAAATGCTAGACTTTTTAAAATTAAAACTTAATTTCTAAAAAAAAATGAAACCCCAAACTAAAATGATAGCTTTGTATTTCTCCTTCCTTTTAAAATCATCTTTCTTTTAACAAAAAATCTAGAAATTCGTCAAGTGGTTGATTTAGAATCTTGAAATAAAAAACTTTGCCACATTTTAAAATAAGATTAAAACTTAATATAGTGGCTGTGACAAATAGACAGCAAGCCTATGACTAAGGCTAGGGAAAACATGATACTATTTTTATCTGTAGTTATTGTTAGTTTAAAGCAGATAATTATCACTGGAATGATTATTGAGATATTATGAATAAAAGATTTATTTTTTAAACATCAATTATAATTTCTATTAACTTCTCATTTTAAGCAAGAAAAGTTATAAGTACAGTACATATTATTTTAAATACACTTTCAATACTTTTAATTTTGAGAGTTTTTATATATGGACTTAAATAGAAAAAAATCTGTAGACTAATGTGACATGAAAAAATAGTGTGTTCCGGTTTCGCTTAGCCAAAATACAAGTCTTTTTAGGATTAAAACGTTCAAAGTTAAAGTAGTTGGCCTATACCATAGACTAAGCAACACAAGTAGACTTCTCATCCCATTGTAAATCTGAAGCTTGTTTTTCATGTCTAGTTCATGTTGGTGACACAGGGCGAAATATCGACAAAATTTGGTTTATCTTATTTTAGGGTTAATTTTATGATTTGTGTTTTACTGTTTGGTTATACAGCTAGGGGACGAGTTATTGTTTATGATTAGATTATTTTATTTGGTTAAACGAGGTTTTTAATTACTAAAATTACAAGAAACAAATTGTAAACTGAAATCGATTTCCTTCCCAACAGCTAGACCCATTAGTGGTTAATAAATACCACACAACACACAGCTGATTGGCGACAATGTCTTTGAATCAGCTGATTTCCTTTCCTGGAAAGATATGATGTCACTTATTGTTAGCTCTGCTCATTTACATCATACTTGGTTGTTTGTAGTAATGGGAACCACGCCTGTTAATTGTATTGCGTAAGTTATCTTTGTGAATATCTAAATTGAATGTATTAGGATAGTTACGCTCTATCTATCTAATTGATTTATTATCTGCAAACTCATCCAATCATCTAACTTCAAAAGTACCTAAGAAAAATAATATGTATAAAACTTCCTCCTTATGTACAACATGTAACTTAATGGGATTAATTTACAATACAGATTTAATAGGAAAACCTCCTATATTATAATTATTATTGATATGTTTCTTTAGTTAAAAAAATTCCAAAATGTACAAAATATAACGAAACATGTATTTAAATCTCCATATTGTTACAAATATTTTCAAACACATTCAATTCCGTTGCGTATTATTGACCAAGAGTGACATTTTAACAATGTTACCAATTTCATTAACAATTCCACCTACACTACAATGATTCGCCACGGTTCACCCATTAGTGACAGTTATTTTCTCGTTAGGTCAGTTTATTGTTTCTTTCTGTTCAAGGCCTTATAAATTACACCTTTGCTGCCAAAGATAATGGTCGCCCCTCCGTAAAATTGTTCTCATCTCATCCAAGATAGTTTGTGCAATACTGTGTTTTTGAAGGAGGGGGTAGTTATTCTTATAGTTCTGTCAATGTCAATCTAAGGAATGGTCAAAGATTAAAGATAATGTGGAAAGGGTGAAATACAACTAATTATGCTTGAATAACAGATTAAACATACTTCTTCATAGATTTGTCATCCTTAAGGATCAGCTTAAGACAATTTGCTGTTCATCATTGACTATGTGGTTATATAGTCAATGGTTCCATCCAATTATAGTACTTTTTTTGTTTAGGACTACTTTGTTTTTTGTTATTGAACCAAATTTAGAAGTGTCAATAAGCAATTGCTTACCCTCAAGTCTTGTAACCAAAGACCAAACAAATGGAAAAATCCACCATAAAAAAGAAACATTTAGTTGACGTCAAAGCAAACAACTGTAATCAATAAACAACACACAAATATGGCTTCAAATTTAAAGATAGGATTAGAAGTCTACTTCCAAAGAACAGGCTTTTTTCTAATAGTAACACAATTCAATTTTTTCCAACTTCATTACAATGGCCTCATTATTTAAACACGAATACTATTGCAGCAGCCAAATTAATTATTCAACTACTGTTCCATTTTTTGTCATTTTTCAAATATTTCAATATTTATTACTACAAAAAAGTTCTGGTACAAGCTTTCATAACATACCATATGAGTAAATATGAGCAATTTCTTTTGTCCAAAGAATTGCAAAAGAATTCTTTGCCAGGTTGTTGAATGTTAATTACAGACAGTACAGGGCAATTATTAACTACTACGTGTCAACATTTATTGCCATACACCATGACCTTGTATCGACCGAATGGATGTTGGGCTTGGCTGGGAATATGACCAGCAGAAGACACGTTTGGTTGTCAAGCACCCTACAGTCCTACGCAGGTTCAAACACGCCTACACCACACACTACACTCCTCTGTGATTGGCTAATTACTAGCTATCTTGAAACAATTGTTGACTTTGGTTCTCACAATTGATTTGTTGCTTTACCTCTGAAGTCGTTACTTTCTCGGTCAGTAATTGAGCGGAGCGAGGGAAGCGAGCGAAGCTCTTTGAGATCGGACCTTATGCAAACTATGTAATCAATTAACTCAATAACGGCTGAACATATTGAATCCAAACTTACCAGGGGTATTTCGACAAATATTTTTGATGTTTCGAAACAAACAAATTTCAATTTGATGATACCTGTACAATTTAAGACTGACATAAAATTTGCAATGTTTAACATGAGTCTTATGAGTTGCCATGATGGTTACGAGATAACAACGTAGATGTAAACAAAGAATCGTAGCGTATGCGACTCGACATTCTGTACCCACGGGCACCTCAGCTTGCACATGCACATATGGCCTATTTACAAAAGACAGTACAAAAGAAAAGGAGTCCGATGAATACCATTAAGCGTTGATTAACAATACACCGATTCGCATAATTTCTGGCGGCCTTACTGAATTATTCCAAGCAGATTATTTCTTTTAATTGTTGTTATTGCTATTAGTTTTGTGGTAAATATTAGTCCGGAGTGTGGTAGCTTTTTATGACGATTAGATTAAGGTATCTGTTATCCTAAAATGCTATGGGAAGGAAGGGAAACAGGTTCCCGACTTAGGAAGTCGTGAAGGAAGCAGTAAAGATGAGCGGTCCGGAGTGTGGGAATTGTTTATGCCGATTAGATTAAGGTATCTATAATCCTAAAATGCTATAGGAAGGGAGGGAAACAGGTCCGCGACGTAATAAATGGTGAAGGAAGTAGTAAAGGTGAGTAGTCCGGAGTGTGGGAAATGTTTATGACGATTAGATTAAGGTATCTACAATCCTAAAATGCTATGAGAAGGGAGGAAAACAGGTCCGCGGCGTAGAAAGTGGTGAAGGAAGTAGTAAAGGCGAGTAGTCCAGAGTGTGGAAACTATTAATGACGATTAGATTAAGGTAGGTATCTGTTATCCTAAAATGCTATGGGAAGGGAGGAAAACAGGTCCGCGGCGTAGGAAGAGGTGAAGGAAGTAGTAAAGGCGAGTAGTCCGGAGTGTGGGAACTATTAATGACGATTAGATTAAAGGAATCTGTTATCCTAAAATGCTATGGGAAGGGAGGAAAACAGGTCCGCGGCGTAGGAAGTGGTGAAGGAAGTAGTAAAGGTGAGCGTTCCGGAGTGTGGGAACTATTAATGACGATTAGATTAAGGTATCTACAATCCTAAAATGCTATGGGAAGGGAGGAAAACAGGTCCGCGGCGTAGGAAGTGGTGAAGGAAGTAGTAAAGGCGAGTATTCTGGAGTGTGGGAACTATTAATGACGATTAGATTAAGGTATCTTTTATCCTAAAATGCTATGGGAAGGGAGGAAAACAGGTCCGCGGCGTAGGAAGTGGTGAAGGAGGTAGTAGAGGTGAGTAGTCCGGAGTGTGGGAACTGTTTATGACGATTAGATTAAGGTATCTACAATCTTAAAATACTATGGGAAGGGAGGGAAACAGGTCCACGACGTAGGAAGTGGTGAAGGAAGTAGTAGAGATGAGTAGTCCGGAGTGTGGGAACTGTTTATGACGATTAGATTAAGGTATCTACAATCCTAAAATGTTTATATTTAATATATTTAACTATGTTAACTTGTGTTGTCCAATTTATAACTTATAAGTGTGGAAATAATTTTCTCTGTGCAGATATACAGACACAGTTACAATTACACATGCCAATGGTGTAAATATATGTTCAGTATTTATGTCTGTTTGTTTAAATGTATATATTTTTTATTTGAAAGTCTGACACCATCAATCTCTTTTGGGTAAAAGATGAAGATAATAAGGTAATAATTACAAAAAGTAGAGCCTAGACTGCTTGGCCTGTACGGGAGTCCAGTTATGAAATAAGCGTGATATAATATTCCTATTTTTTCCGTGATACTATAAGATGAATTATTACAGCTAAAAGAACAGCATGTTGGCATTTTTATGTCAGGTTGAAAATTTAGTACTACCCAATAAATAGGCTTTAGGGTACATCAACACAGTGCAGGTTCTCAAATTAAATTGCCATAGCCTAATATAAAATCGTCTTTTATATTTTATTTTAATAATTTTGTTGTACAGTAGTTTATTATGCATATACAGTATTTTACTTAATCATGCTGTAATTTAGCATGAGGAATAAATATATTCTTGTTTAATTCATCAATTCTCTATCCAGTGCCGTCTTTAAAATCTAATCTATTTATTGAGTACAGTATGCCTATATTTTGGCAAGGGAGCGGAGCTAGCGCTAACGTCACCAATTCAATGCCACAAGCGTTGCGGCAACCACCATCTTTTTCAGGGTATCATCAGCTCGTGAAATTAGCCACGCCTTATTTCCTGTGGTGACCATTGACTATGGTATTGCTATATATAGTCACCTTCTTCTGTCATTCTGTTCGCTGAGCAAAGTTTACTAATTGGCTAAATGTTTTAGTTGGAGAAAATGAGAAGGAAGCCTATAGGCCTATTACATAAATGGGAGCTAAAAAAACATTAGGATATTGACAAAATAATACTTATCTTTATGCTATTACAAACACACAGTTTTACTATTACTCATATATACAATTAAAAATCAATGACCTAATAGAAACAGCTGACTGGATTCATATTTCCTTCAACTCTTCCCACCAACCACGAGAATTCAATTGGATTGTTGCTATGGTGACGTCACCATGTATTCAATTTGAATCATGAAAACAAATTAAAGTTATTTGTTTATATCAAAGCTTGCTTACTCCGCTCAATTGGCGGACCTGAGGCCGCATGCCTAGTGTATTAGTAAACTATAATGAGTTTTTTCATATGTTTGTTAGTGTGTTTTTGTCAGATGTAGAATCCTTACATAAAATTATATGAAGTACATTGTTTGTCACTTGTTTATTTCCGTATTTTTTTACACCGTCGTTTAATTTTTTGTGAGATAACCGCCTGAGCCCACTTGTTTATCTTTTGTGAGATATAATCATTGATTGCCCAAAGACAAATAGCATTTGGATCCAGATTCAATCCCACCCTGAATGAAACCAGCAATATTTAGACGTTACTGCGAGCCCTATAACCAGTTGTCTACTCACAGTTTCATTTGTTATGTATTTATTTTGAACAATTTAAGCAGTTCCCTGCTTTGCTGGGTCATAAGTACCGTTTTTTAATAGTTCATTGACTATTTCCTGTTGATCTTTCAGTACGCGAGATGCAGCATACAACGAGGAAGAAGGCACGTTGAGGATGTACCTACGTGGTCGTCCAGTAGTCCTCTACGCCCCGTCACCATTGGTCGACAGCTATGACATCACTAAGGTCGCCCCACCACCACATCACAAGTTAAAACTCGACTGGGTGTATCCTTGATATATTGGCACTGCTATTATATTTTTTCAAGCTCCAAAAAGCAGTGGATAATTATTTTATATTTAAGCAGATCAACAAATGTATTCACAAGAACCTCTCTCTTTTTCTATAGATAACTTCAGGTTTTTACATAATGTTCTATGTTAAGAAGAATGTATATTTTTATGTAACGATTTAGGCAGAATTTTCACAGGTTTTACTGATCAAGCTGAATTCTAAGCAACATAAAATGGTACCTCTCGTAATCGGAATCACTTTTTTTTGTCTTCACTTTATTTGGCTCCTTCTCGGAATTCAAAATAAAGTCTGTCACTGATGTCAAATCAAATCAAATCAAATCAAAAATTCTTTATTCATATTGTATGTACATACATGAATAGTGTCAGACTATAACTAATTTGTATGCATTTTGATTTCGATTTACAGAAAAGTAAGAACCGCATACAGTTTCATTTTTTTATTTTTTTCCATCAGAGCACCTCAACCTTATTTATTTAGTCGTTTTTACATTGAAAAAACTCTTCAAATGAATAATAACTCGTTTGCAACAGATGATTCTTAACTAGTTTTTTGAAATTATTTTGGTTTATTTTACTTTTTAATTTTGTAGGAAGATGGTTTAAAAATTTTGATCCCATAAAGGTTCCCTTTTTTTCAAAGAAGCTGAGGTTATGTTTTGATAAATTTATATCATTCTTATTTCTAGTGTCATATGAATGGACATTTTTTCTAATTTCCAAATTGTGTAGTTGATTTTTGACACACATAATACATTCTACTATATACTGATCATAGACAGTCAAAATATGTAGTTTTGAAAATTTATCCTTCACAGTTATTCGTTTGTCCAAGTATAACATGATTCTTATAGCTTTTTTTTGGAGTTTCAGAACTGTATCTAAATTTTGTTTAGACGTTCCTCCATAGATTGCCAGACCATAAGACAGATGGGAATGTATATGCGCAAAATATATTGATTTTAGGGTGTCCAGACTACATAATAGTGACATACGCCTCAAAACATATAACTCTGAAGAAATTTGTTGTGTTATGAATTGTGTATGATAATCCCATTTAAAATATGTGTCTACGTAAAGCCCTAAAAATTTAGTATGCTTTAGATTTTCTATTTTTTCGTTTCCAACCAGGATGTTTGGTTCTATTGTTTCTTTTCTTTGTGAGGCTGAAAAAACGATTTGGTTGGTTTTTTGACAGTTTAAAAAAAGTTTATTTTTAAGAAAATATGATTGAACCTTACTCAAATTTTCATTACAGGCCAGTTCAAGATTTTGGTAATTTTTAGCTGAAATAATTAGGTTTGAATCGTCTGCGTACAATAGTAACTGGCTTTTGGCTTCTATGTTTGATTTTAAAATTGAGGGCATTCCACGGACATAGCAGAGAAATAATAATGGTCCTAAAATAGATCCCTGAGGAACTCCATGTTTAATTTTTAATGTTTGTGATTTATTTTTAACGACTTGGTTTCCTTTTTTTGAAACTATTTCAACATACTGAGATCTATCGGAGAGGTATGATCTAAACCATTTTAAAGGAACATCTGGCAGGCCCAAAACTTTAAGCTTCTTAAGTAGTATTTCATGAGACACGCTGTCAAATGCTTTTGACAAATCCATGAAGACACTGGCTACCTTATCCCCCTTGTCAATAGATTCAATTATTGTTTCCGCAAACCTCAGCAGAGCTGAAGTGGTTGATTTTCCTTTTTGGAAACCATGCTGTTCTTCGTCTAAAAGGTTATTATTTTGTAAATGCTCAAACAATCTATTATACATCACCCGCTCATATATTTTTGAAATAGCAGGTAAGACAGAAACAGGACGGTAATTACTTCTTTCAGTTTTTTCACCCTTCTTAAAAATGGGCACTACTTTGGACATTTTTAAACTTTGAGGAAAAACTCCGGTTATTAAGGAACTGTTAACTAAGTGAACTAATGGCTTTAACACGTTCGCGGCGGCACGTCAAATGGCAGGCGTATCCCAGGTGCGGGGCAGCCCTCAGCATCAAACAAACCCGATTGCCGCGTGTGATTGGCTTTCCAATTTCGGGCTGACAAATAGCAAATAACGTGCGAGGATGTCCTGCTTTACAATGAGAGTCGACGTAGTTCGCTAAACACCAACAGATAGCAGCACTGCTTGTAACGTAGCCGGTCCCATTGGAATTGTATTGCCAAATGGAGGGAAAAAGACGGGACAAAAGTAGAATTTTGAGATTGCCAGACGGGGATTTACGGGAAGATTTACTACCAACCAACACCACAACAAAATACAGTATACTATTGAGCAGTGCTGTGCGAGGTTTCAAATTTCTAGCTCTAATCCTGGCTTAAAAATAAATCATTTCGTACTACATTGCAGCTTGGGAGCGATCGCACCCACCAGGATGGCATTAGGGTTCCGTATGGGAGCGATCGCTCCCATGCCGCCGCGAACGTGTTAACAAGGGTTTTACTGTATTTTTAATTAACTTTAAAGGAACTTCATCGTGGCCACTTGATAACTTATTTTTTAAGGACAAAATAATTTTTTCAATCTCTGCTTCATCAACTGGTTTAGATTTAAAAGGATTCAAGATTTCAATATGATTTATGTTGTCCTGTAAATTTATTCCATTGGGCAACGTTGAATTATTTGAGGTATCCTGAACAAGATCATCTATTACATTGATATAGTAGTAATTAAACAAGTTTGAGATGCTCAGAGGATCACATACAGCTTCACCATCTATTTTTATTACATTGATTGCTCCTCTTGAGCTATTAACATTTTTTCCTGTCTCTTCATTTATTATCTCCCAGGTTTTCTTGCAGACATTTTCAGATTTGTTAATTTTTGTATCATAAAAAGTTTTCTTAGCCTTAACAAGTTTATTCTTGTAATCTCTATCTTTTAATTTACAGTAATTAATTATATCAACATTACCACTAAGTCTAGCATATTTTGATAGTTCAACTATATCCTTTTTCTCCATCATCAGCTCTTTAGTAATCCAGTTTCTTTTCCTTTTATACAAGTATCTTTTGATTTTCTTTTTTGGAAAAACTAAATTAAAATTATATTGAAAAATGTTGTTAAATACATCAAACTTATTCTCTACTTTCGATAAATATAATGGAAGCCAGTTTTCATAGGAAAGAATATTTTTAAAAATATTCATATTATTATCTGAAAAATCTCTACATTCAACATATTCACTGGGCAAATTTAATTTCTTAGATTTGGGTAATGTTAGTTCTAAAATTTGTCCATCATGATCGGAAAGAGATGTTATGATTCCAGTAACATGTGTCAATGACTTATCTATATTTGTCAAAATATTATCTATAGCTGTGGCAGTATTACTGGTTACCCTTGTAGGAAAATTTACTAAATAATTAAAATTGTAGCTTCTTAGGATGTTTTTGAAAGTTTGAACTTCATTTGTTGTAATTAATACATTAAGGTTAAAATCTCCAGCAATAACAAAATTTACTTCGTCTTTTAAAGAAACTAAAAGTTCAATTAACCTATCTAATCTACTTAAAAATTCTAATGTTTGTAATTGAGGTTTTCTGTAAACTCCTACCAGCACAAAAGACCATTTTTTTATTCTATATTTAGCCAGACAACACTCAAAAAGCTTGTCCTCGGTCAGTTCATCAACTTTTTTTAAGGTTAGGGGTTTTGAGTTCAAACTCTTCTCCGACAGAATCATCACGCCACCGCCAGAGGTGTTTGTACGAGAGTATGCAGAAGTAACAGAAAAGTTAGTTAAATTAAATCTTTCTATTTCGTATTCTTTCATGTTGTGTTCGGTCAAAACAATTATATTGGGTTTAATTTCTTCTAAAACAACTTCTAATGGTTCTTTCCGGGAATTTAAATGTTGAATATTTTGATGAAAAATTGAAAATGTGTTTATTTTGTTGCTATTTGTTGAGTTTTGAATTTTAAACTTTAGTCTGGATCCTTGAAAACTGTCGGCGAAGAGTTTAAATCCGGTTTAGGGTCAGGAAGGATCCGGTGTGGTTGATTAGTTGAAGGGGACTGGGTCGAACTATAACTATTGCTTATATTTAAACTATTGCTTGTATTTAAACTATCACTCACGACACTTTTATCACTGCTCTGCTTTAACGCCTCACAGTATGTGAGGTCGCCGGGCACCACTTTAACTTCTTCACCATGTGTTGACATCTGGTTTGTAAGTTGGCCGTCAGCTCCAGGTGCTTTACAATCAGACGAAACCATCTTAGTTGTGTTTGTTGAGTTACCAGAGCCCCGTGAGATCTCCAAAGACTGCAGATCCTCTGAAGGTGAAGCAGGCGGGTTGATGCAAGCATCAGTTAGAATGTTTGGGGCATCAATTTCACAACAGCAACTGTCTATTGTCTTCCTTAGCTGATCCAGAAATGCAGTATGTGATAGTCCATTCCATAATTTTCGCTGAGCAGCTGGTTGATCACAGGACACCACATATATCGTAGCATTAGTCACTTTGTGCAGCTTTACAATATTTTTTGCAAAGTGGTTGAGAGGTATTAAGTCACGCACACAGCCCATAGGAGAACATATTAAAGTATCAAATTGTTTTACTTTAAAATCCTCAATCAAGTGTTCAAACGCCTCATCATACATTGGTAGTGTTGGCTTTCCTCTATATTCTTCCTTTGTGACAAGACTGTAGACTGTGGCACCCCCTGATTCAGTCTGGCAAGTCAATCTTGAGTTGATGAAGTCTGTGTCCTTAGGCCTACCAAATACCTTACGAAACACAACCGCTACACCAGCAGACATGTTTCTGTAGTGTTGTATATCTCTTGATATGGTATGCGCAAATGCTGTGGTAGGGGCTTTTTTGTTAGCATTAATCACTTCCCACATGTTAGCTTCAATGACATTAATATTATTGTTTTTTATGTAAGCAGACTGTGTTTGTTCTTTAGAACCAACAACAGTTTTAATCCTTGGAACAAATATTTCTTTAATCATTTTTGATATTATTAATTTGCCTTGCTTGTTAAAGTGTAGTCCATGTTGTGTATAAGACTGACGAGATAGTTTATTTATAGCCAACAAGGTAGCATGGTTATACTCTGATACAAGTGCTTCAATGTCCATGTTTATGTAATATATTCTATTATTTAGACCAGGAGTGTGATGTCGGTAAGGGATTGCTGACACCACTACATTAGTGAAATTAGTCCATCACTACACTACATTAGTCCATGTTTTCACAATGGACATAATTTTAGCGATTGTCTTATTTCATCTGTTTTCTGTTTGACACAGTTAACCTATTTAAAAACTGCCTAATAGTTTGTTATCTATCGTTATTCTGTGTAAATGAATAACGACTTCAATTCAGTTGAGTTAGTATCTATAGCTTCAGTAACATATTTTTTTTGTAAATAACATTTAAGGGATTATAGCCCCTTTAAAATGTGGTTCAACTTACTTTTCTACAGTTAGTTGCTTTTCCCGCCCAAATCATTTCTCGGCCTAAGATTGGTCCCAGATGGTCAGATATGAAGACTCTACTGTATAGTAACTATGTAGATTTTTGTATGATGTTATCCTTGACATAGTTGGGAAAGTTAGTCAAAAATTCTAACTAGTTAGAAGTTATAAGTTAGTCCCGTAAAAAGTAACTGATAGAAGTTATAAGTTAGTTAGTTTAAAAAGTAACTGATAGAAGTTATTAGTTAGTTGAAAAACTAACTGATAGAAAATAGAGTTAGTTTTAGTAGAAATTAGTTGTTCGTTGGGCAGTTGTTTTAAAGTATTTTTTAATGTCACATCTTGGTTACTAATATATACTATAATATGCGCCATTAAAAAAAGTAACCAAGATAAGATTAAAGATTAAAGATTGCGCAAGATATGATTTTAAAAATGGCTCCTACGATTTCCTCCAATTTCAATGCTTTTGAAAATTGCTTGTATAATACATTTGCATTGTATGATGTCTTACTAACCAAAGGGATAATTACGACTGTTCAAAAACATTAAGTGTTTTACTGCAAAACAATATACACTGACATTGAACTAAAAATCTAAAGGAAAGGCCAAGGAGATTTGTATTTTTCGACGATGCACCGCACGAATTGATGCGTTATTACACCATCCCGTAATTATAATTGCAACGTTCCACGATCCCAGTGACTTAATGCAATAACGGTCGTCAGATAACAGATGTTATGTATCATGAGTTTTATATTGATTGAAGCTTATTGTGGCCATTTTATAGATTGATCGTCCAAATTAAAAAGTTTTGTAGACTAAATTGAGGATAAGTGGATGTCTAACAAAAACAAATTGACTTTACTACTTAATTAATCGTAGTAAGACTGAAAATATTTGTAGGCTTATAAGCTCTATTTTTTACCTCTTGAACAAATCAAACACCTCGAGCAAGATCGGTCCCCTGGTACTTGTGTTTTAATCAAACATTGTCACATTTTACATTACTACAACATAAACAAATGACATAAAACTTGTCAGATAATGAGCATCAACTAAAGACAATGTTTTGACACTTGAGATGATATATCAATCACCAAACAAACATTTCCCCTTCCCACCCATCAGTGCTTGGGGTGTTGATAATGGCCGTCACTACCCTTCCACAGGCCCACTGCATTCCAAAGCAACTGGACTTTGACTTTCTCTTTCCCCACCCCCCACGTTGTTTGTCTACAAGGGCACTGACCCCTCACGGCCGCACGCAACCCTCACTGATCACGTGAAATAAATAACCAGTATTTGAGATGCTTCCGCATAGTTGGGAAAGTTAGTTGAAAATTCTAACTAGTTAGAAGTTATTAGTTAGTCCCGTAAAAAGTAACTCATAGAAGTTATTAGTTAGTTTATTTAAAAACAAAGGAATAAAATAGAAGTTAGCCAAAAAAACTAATGAATAGTGCTATTTGATAGAATTTCTATTCGTTATTCCCAAGTATGATCCTTGACCATTGCCCAGTTACGGGTACCGAGGCAGGGATTGTCGTAGCAACCTCTACCTGTTGCCTACAGGTGAGATGGTGTACTTTGTGGCGGCCATTGTGGTTCTATACAACGTAGAGGAGCAAAGTCAGAGACATTATGTAGGACACACGGATGACGTCAAGTGGTGAGCTTACGTTAATAAATTTAATTACTTTACTTACCGGTACTTTTACAAGTGGTCTCTTTGACTTTTGGGTTTTGGATGAAGTAGACATCTCATCTATACGGCTGTGACTAATCAATAATGAGCTACTGAGTGACAGACTTTGTTAATTTTTATTCTTAGACTGACTTAAGCTTCAATATAGGATTGAATGTCTAAATCTGTTGAGACTTATTTAATTTGTAGATACATATAATGGTCCCTATGGTGGCTAGAGGGTTTTTGGAGAAAGATTTAAAATAGTACTCATACGAAAATGTAAATTAATAATCTTGTATAGACTTTTTATGCCACTGGCATTACAAAAGCTCTTTCTAAAGGAACAGTATAAATACATGATCTTGTTACTATCCAACTTTGTCCTTATGTTTGATAGCATAATTAATTGAAAACCCAATGGCAAAATTTTGTCTGGGCCCTGAAATAGGGCTTGGAAATGAACCAGCTGCTATCAGATTTGAAGCCAAGCATTATAACCACTTGGCTACCTAGACAATTTATATTTTATTTTATATAATCAAAGATTCAAACAATTAAATGTTACCGGTTTAGAGGATAAAATGGAAGAATCATGAATGAGCAAGATAGAAGACTTTACAGCGGTTCAGTGAATAAGACTTTGACTTAAACCACATAGACACATGTTTGACCACAGGAGCCAAACATCTTTCTCCTAGAGACACATATTTTGTCAACTTAATTTTTTCTTAAGAGCCTTTAGTAGATCAAAGTCAATAAAGACGAACAATACCAACCCGACAAAAGATTGGCTATTGCTTAGTTTTTTGACCTATAATAATTGTTGGTAAATAACTGTTTATTTACTTGTTTCAGCCTTGCAATCCATCCAAACAAACTGCTAGTGGCAACTGGACAGACTGCAGGACATGATAGCAGGGAAGGCAGGGTTAGTTAACAAAAATAATACCGTTATATGCAATATACCGTTCATAGTTGGACTTGATACAGGCATGTAATAATATATTTCAACTGGAACCAAACTTAAATCATAAATATGAATTAAATCTCTATGTTTAAATTTAACTGAACAGGGTGTCCACATTCTGGAAAGTCAGGGATAGTCATGGAAAGTCATGGAAAAAAATTTTGGTCATTGAAAGTCAGGGAAATAGGCAAGAAGTCATGGAAAGTCATGGAAATGTCTAATTATGGATGGATTTGAGGGGACCATTCAATGCTCTAGTCAGCTGTAACCCGGACTGTTGTAGCATTTTTCAGGATTTTTCACAAATGTTGGACAATTCAATTTATTACAGTTGTATTATTTTATGAGTTTTTGGTTTGTCTTAGTTCATTGTTGTACCTATTGTACTCCATTGTTATCTGTTATTACATATTTCAGTATTTTCTGCAAAATAACATGTCCAGGCAGTTATATTTGTGTGTGTATGTTATATTATAATTTGCGTGTTAAGTTCGTGAGTCATGGAAATCAATGGTAAATGGTCATGGATAGTCATGGAAAGTCATGGAAATAAATGACAAATTTTTTGTGGACACCCTGCTGAATCAAATGAAGGATTTTGTGCAGTGATTTTCAATAAATTGTATTTGCATGTCACCAAGAAAGCTATAGAAGCTTAACAATTTATATATAATATATTTCATTAAGATTTTCTTACTTAGTCAGTTTTATCTTATAGCAAATTACAATTACAATTACAAAATTATTGTAGTGTAGGGTTTAGGCTTGGATGTAATGACATGCAATAGAATTACATTAATCATTGTGGAAAGAACCTAACCTCAAAATTGTGCTTTACAGCATTTTTGCGGTATTTTTTGGTGGTGTATCCAGGTAATTCACCTCTGCTTTTTCTTTCCATTTGGCAATACTGAGGTGCCTCTTAGCAGTGTTTTTAAGTGCTGCTATCTGTTGGGTTCTTGTAAATCTGCGTCCACGACAGTTCGGCCGCATTTTATGCCTCATTTTGATTAAACTAAATTTAAATGTTTTCGCGCACTCGTCCACGCAGCACATTAGATGTTTGCACTACCTGTGTTAAAAGATTCTTTGGTCAAAAGCCCAATGTCCAGTTTTTAGCCAACATAAGCTTACATTACCCTGACTCTCATCATGCTACTATGTGTGTTTCAGCCTCATATCCGAGTATGGAACTCAGTCAGTCTCAGCACAGTTTGTGTCCTCGGCATAGGAGAGTTTGAGAGATCAATTTGTTGCCTGTCCTTCTCTAAAGCTGTGAGTTGTCAATCTTCTTCCATCCTCAATAAGGTTTTCACTCTCATGAAATGCTAAATAATGTTTACAATTTTTTTACCTTAGTATTTTTTTTGCCACACTACACTATTTTAACAAACTTTCCTCATTGTCTGGAAAAAAGCAGTTGCCGTCTGCTTAATTAAATAATACAAATTTCACTATGTACCACTGTACTGTAATGAATTTTACGCCACACTACACTGTTTTACAAAACTTCCTACGCAAAGATTTAGTCCAGAAAAAAGCTGTTTGCAGCCAGCTTAAACAAATGCGGTTTCATTACCTACTACAGTAGAACGTCGATTATCCGAAGCCCGGTCATCCAAAACGTCGGTTAACCGAAAGGAAGAAAGAAGCAAAAATCAATAAAATCGCCAATCACGACTGGCCGTAGCGCTACGCCGCCGCACGGCTGCTAAGGGGTGAAAGTCTAAATATAGCTCAAAGGTCTGACCCTCCCCCTTCCCCCAAACCCCTACTTCATTCAGTGTTACGCCCGCTCACTTCGAGGTCATTGCACAACCCCTCCCTCCCTTCTATTGTTTTTCATTGCCAGTCACTAGTCAGTCGCCGGTGACCGCTTTGAGTTGACCTATTCTGTTATAGCAGCTAAAAAATAGGTTAGGACAACTACCTCTTGCTTATTTCTACAATGTAAAAATAATTGTATTACTGTAGAATCTACAGTAGTAAATATTATCCAGTATTAGTATTTCACGTAAACACAAGTTACATTTTAACAAATATTGATTTTTTTACCAATTTTAACCAAACTCGACTCGAAACTGCCGAGTTAAAAAATAAGCTCGAGTTTCAAAGGCCGTACTCGACTCGAATTTGAAATCTCAAGTACTCGCACATCTCTATAATTAATCAAATTTATATTATTGTACAGTATCCACAGACGCGAAATCGGCAAATCGCCGCCGGCCGCTATCCCTTCCCGTCATTTCCCGTTCCCCGTATTTTTCCTGTCAATGACCGATTATCCGAAAAATCAGTTATCCGAACAACCCCAATCCCCAATTAATTCGGATAATCGACGTTCTACTGTACTTTACTCTAATGAGTTTTTATCGGACAGCTGATCCCAACAAAGCTACAATCCCAACAATCCTTATAACTTTGACCCTTTTTGCGCCTTTACATAATTTAATCTGATTCACAAATATATTTTCAGGATGGAGGTGCTCTTTTGTGTGCTGTAGACGAGGCCCATGATCACAACATCTCAGTGTGGGATTGGCAGAAAGGGGACAAAGGCTATAAGGTCACAGAAACGAAGGTAAATATATTACTTCTCCAACAGAATATTAATTATAGACTAGGTACCATTATATACTTCCAACATTACTTAGGTTCTGTTAGCAAAATTACTGAGGTATAAGAATGTGACTTGAAACAATAGCAAAATCTTTTAAACACTGCCGACAATAGACAAAACGTTCAAATGTTTTCACAATGGTTTCTGAGCAAGAGAAAGTCCACTGTAATGTTCTTTAGAAAAAATAAAAGAATCCTTTAGAACATAGTCTGATCTAGTAATAATTTTGGCCAGTGCTCATACATTATCAGTCACTTAGCATTGTAAAAAAAGTAGTCTAATCTTCCCTTTAAATTTTTGACTTTCCCCCAAAAAAATAACTGAAAAAATTACTGATATAGTAATATATCTACACTGAGAGGACCGTGTTTCCATTAAAACCTAAAAGTTCCTTATCTGAAGCTACATTCCTTTTACTGTATTGAACAAGAATTACAAGTATGGAGATAAAAATTAAGAGCAGAAAGTAACAAGACTTTATTTAAGTAAAAAGGCAAAATTTAGGTTTAATTTAATTTTGAATGCTGGAGTAGTGATTCCATCTACAGTATAGGAAATAAATCCCGGGACGGTTAAATAAAATATTTCAAAAAGTAATAAATAAAGTTTTAAAACCTGGTACACAGGTACTGGGCTTTTACGTTCTGTTAACATATTATTTAGAGACAAACTACCTCTTCAGGGGGTAGTGATTTCTTCAGGGTTCTAGATTTCTTGAAATTTATTTTTCCAATAACATTAATTAAGAGTTTCCCCTCAGGAGGTATAATGAATGATGTAATGATTTTTTATGCCCAATAACTTTGTTCCCGTAGCTGTATCTTTATTATTATTTTTTAATACATATCTATCCCAGGAATGTTTTTCACACCTATTTCTAAATGATAACTTACATCTCTGATGTGGCAGTGCTCGGTGGACACAGTCGTGGCTGCAGAGTTTCATCCGCTGGAGCGCAACTGTATAGTGACCTGCGGTAAAGCTCATATAAGTTTCTGGGCACTGGATGCAGGTGGGACTCTGTACAAGCGGATGGGAGTGTTTGAGACCCGAGACAAACCCAAGTACGTCACCTGTCTAGCCTTCACACAGACGGGAGACGTGCTCAGTGGAGACAGTAACGGGAACGTGGTCGTGTGGGGGAGAGGTAAGTTGGGCGTTACACGAAGCAAAAGAGCCTTGTGAGGATAGCAGGCCTACCTGGATGGGAAAGAGTTCAAACTAGCACAAGCAACACAACACTTTACACTAAACAAAACCTTTTTGTCCTAGGACGCTAGGCACGAGCCCGGGATTGTTTTTCACATAACTTCAGGCTAGACCTAGGGGTTGCAGTATTATCACTTAGATAAAATCCACTGGTGATTTGGCGGGATTTGAACCCGGGACCTCAGGGACCGCAGTCCCGTACTCTAACCACAACACCAGCTCGGTCCCCACTAAACAAAACTTTGGAATCATACCTTTGTTCCTTATTTGAAAATGCTGAAATACTATAATTTGTTGCGTGTAAACAGTGTAGACTTGTATATTGCTTACAAAGTTACAAGTGTCAGATTTTTCTGTTTTCTATTCAGATAAGCCTGTTATCCTCACAAAATCCTAAAATAGACAAAATTATATGTAGGTTGGGTTCTGATAGTGATACCAACATTTATCGATTCTCGATACCGATACCTGATACCTGAATAATCGATTCTCAATTCTCGATATGGATACATTTTTTTTAGTTTGGCAAAATTTCCGAATGGATTGGTTGTACTACACCAACCCCTGTCTTTATGTATTTCCATAAAGTATATTTGGAAAATGGGGTTTTTTCTAGTAGGTAAATAAAAATTAATGCAGCAATGAAAAATTCAAACTAGCCAACTTAAGTCCAAACTCCAAAAACAATAAATATCTACTGAATAAAAGTTAAATAACAACTAACAACAAAAATCAAAAAGGAGTTTATTTTCACTAGAGTTGTGCCAGTCTGAATTTTTTTAGTCAAGCCAAACTTGAGGTAATATTGTGATCTTCTCCGTGGTCGTGTAGACATAATGATCATCTCCCATGGTCATGGAAATGCCATCATCGTTTTGAGTGTGGCAAAATCGTGTAAAAATCATGAAGATATCCTGCGGTCGTGTAGAGTATTAGGGGCGGTTCACGAGCTCGGGACTATCGTAGTCCGAGCCCAGAATCCGGAAATAACCGGTATTTGGGCCGCGACTTAAAAAATCGGGTTCACGAGCTCGAGACTATATAAGCCGCGGACCAAACTGATAGGCGGCACACAATTAGTGAAGGGTAAAACCCGGTTTTAAAAGTTGGGTTCACGAGTCCAATTACAGATAGTCCCGGCTCTGATCATTAGTCCCGGTGGGTTCACGAGTCAAGTCCGAGCCCAAATGAGATGGTTCGGGCCCAAAAGAACAATGGTGTTTGGTCTCCAACTCAGACCTGGTAGGAGGCAGGTTTAACGTGACATGATGCCGGTTTTATCTAATTTTTTAGTTTTTTATTTTTTTTTTTTTTGTAATGAAAGCAGAACAAATCAAATTTTTAGTTCGAAACTATATCCAAAGGAAAAAACAATGTTTTCCTAAATATAAACGTAAATTAAAGACGTTTTTGTAAATTAAAAACCATAGCTGTTAACATAAATAATATTACGAGCTAACTGCAGAATATTATTTTCAACATTTTAAAGTTAGATTATTAAAGAGTGTAAGAATAACGGAAAGAATATTCTTAGGTTACAGCCACGATTAAATCCAGCACACACATACAATTTTTATATCTAATAATCAGTACATCTAAAATACATTTTAGTTTCAATAATTGTACCATTTAAATAAGTTTAGTAAAATCGTTATTATTGCCTACAACTATCCTATCAAAAAATCACCATCCTAAATTATCGGGCATTTATGCAAAATAGGAATTCATCCGTTTATAAATACCCGGTTATTTTATGTCATGCATCTTAATTAAATTATAATAATGCACACAGAAAAATATATTTCACTAAAGACTTCCATTATCTGATTTCATACAAACGTGGATTTATAAATCAATAAACTTAGATAGATTATCATAGGCGAGCATTGGGACAATTAAATACGAGAAAAATAATCGTTTTGAACATTTTGGTCCAGCCCTTTTTCACGATCATCCTATTGTATGGAAGTGCGTATGTCAACAGCAGTGGCTTCACATGTGTTTCCAGACTGATGTTACTGGTTGATACCAACGTCTCAACGGAAATTCCCTGCGAATCCCTGTCATTAGGCTCCGCTACGGATTTGGTCTCGACCTACACTGGGCCCGGCTTCCACATCATTAGGCTCTGACTCGTGAACCCATTTTTTGGTCGTCGCTTATATAGTCCCGGACCAACGCCTGGTCGCGGACTATGAAGTCCCGAGCTCGTGAACCGCCCCTTAAAGTATTAAAGGTGTGTTGAAATGTGAGATAAAGTGAATTTGACATTCATACTTGTTTACACTAAAATGTCGATGGAAATGTAAACATTGTGATTTGCCGACAATGTCCAATCAATATTTTACTATTAAAAGCCTCACCTCAGAACTTTGAAAGCGGCAGAGCCCTAGATCCATTGTTCTAGCAAGAATAGTTCTATACAAATCCTAAGGGCTGTAGTTAAATTTGTGTACCATTGAAGTCCAATCAGTTCAGTAGTTTTAGCGTTTAATGCATACAAACAGACACACAGGCACCACCTCCTTCATAATATCATAGATAGATCCAGATTAAATACAATTTATATTATCATCTTAATATTTATATTTCAAGACTCTTGTGTCAACATCTCACCATCTTGTAAAATAAGTTGTCTGTTTGTCGAATTGTCTGCTTGCTAAGGAAGTAAATAAATACATAAACTGTTATACTTTGTTCTGTGTCAGGTACCAACACGATTGCCAGAATAGTCCGCAATGCCCATGAAGGATCTATATTCAGCATCTGTGTTCTCAAGGAAGGAAGTATAGTGACAGCTGGAGGCAAAGACGGAAGACTGATACAATTTGACAGCAACTTCCAACCCACTGGCTATGAAGCTCAGGTAACATTTTTTGTCTTAAATGCTATCGGTAAAAACATTGGAACATTTATTCACTGAAAACATATAAATCTATGTATAGATTGTTGACTTTTATCAACATCACACAAATATGCTGGTATAATCGTGAAACACTGGGAATAAACCTTGAATTTATTCCTTTTTCAAGTTTGAGTGGGAACCATTTAATTGCTTAGAGAAGCTCCATTATTTACGTACATCAGGTTTAGTGTAGGTTAAGCAGCGAGAAATATCCAGAGGGAATTCTTGAAGTACTGGTGAAAAATATGGAAATTAAACATATTATTGGGCTTTGATTCTTGCTAAAGACATGACTGATCTTAGTAACATATCACCTCACTACATCCCACACTAAGCTTGTATTCATATTCAGTTTATACACATATTCCTTAAACTAAACCCTCTTTCATCTGCAGATCGCCGAGCACCTGGGAGGGGTCAGGACAGTCTCCGAAGGTCGTGGATCGCAGTTGTTGATTGGCTCCACCCGCAACTGTATCCTGATTGGCTCGTTGGACGTCGGCTTCAGTCCCGCAGTCCTGGGACACACGGACGAGCTGTGGGCCCTCTCTCCCCACCCCTCCCTTCCACAGTTTCTCACTGCAGGCTTTGACAAGATTGTGCAGCTGTGGGACTGTATGTCTCGCAGTGTCGTGTGGAGCAAGGACATTGCGGTGAGTTAAGACTGGTGAATATTTTCGGTTTTAAAACTGTTGCAGTATTAAATCCAACCAATCATTTTACTCTTTGTTAAGAACCACTATAATTTCAATATGAAACGGTCACATATAAATCGCTCAAAGGTAAATTAAAAGATTGAACTGTTAATGTTTTGCATCCATTTCTCTGTTAATCAATATTCTTGTTTTCTCAGGAGCAAGCGCAGTCTGCTGCGTTTTCCCCTGATGGCAGTGTTATAGTAATCGGAGCTGTGACGGGACGATGGCTCGTCATGGATTCTGAGACTCGGGAGATCTACTCTGTACACACAGACGGAGGGGAACCTATACAGGTAACTTACCTACAGAACCTAAAGAGCTCTCTCTGTTAGAAATAAAACATGTAGCCTACTTAACATAAAAATAATGTTTACTAAAACAAGTCATCACAACCAACTTAATTTTGGAAACGAATCAAGTGTATTTTTCAGTTCCAACATTTTTTATTTATTTAATTTGTCTGTGTGATTCACAGGTTGTCAAGTTTTCTCCCGATGCAAGATACCTGGCTTTGGGTTCCCGAGATAACAACATCTACATCTACCAAGTGGGAGAAGACATGAGAAAATACAGCAGAGTCGGACGTTGCACGGTTGGTACCCGTTTGTACGGTTGGTATTTTAATGATAAATGCATTCTATATTACAAATAAATACCCCTGCTGCAGCAAACCTGCAGATTTAACCTTATTTCTAATTGGACGATTTGATTTCGCTAAAATATTTCCTTAAAAATGTCAGATTTTTGCGAATAGGTCTCTGGTAAGATCTGGACCCGGACGGATTTACTTTTTCATTTTGATGACCCCAGATGTCAAAACACCTTCCGTTAAAATTCTAATGCTGTCAGTCAGTATGTTTGTTACTCAATCACATAGAAACTACTGAACCGATTGGGCTTAAGTTTTTAAAAGTATAGCTACTCTACCAAGGATCCGTTTAGGACTATTTACACTCCAAAACTGACCTCGAACTTTGCCCCTTTGGCTTTCAAAGTTCTGAAGTGAGCATTTTATTACTGAGTAGCAGGGAGTTGTAAAGAAAAAGTGTTTTAGAAGCTGCTTAAATTTATTAAATTGTGTTTCTTTTCGGATGTGAGCTGGTAAAAACTAAAGGAATTTTAGCCCAATGTAAGATGTCTTTTGTGTGTGTGATGTATTTGTGTGCTTAAATACATATGAACTTGAAGTATGTTTTGCTTGGATTCATGCTGCTAGAGTGATCGGAAGCGTAGAAGAAGCACTTCTGCGCTCATCTCTGTTCTGGTGGGTTGACAGTGTCTTTGCATTGATGTAGTCTATAATGGACTCTCTAACTTTTTGTTTCTGCAAATTTAAAGTATACCTCTCAGAAATAACTTTTTTTAGTTTAGTATATTTTTTGTTAATGCTTCGGTACACCTATGTTGCTTTCTTGGACTCAATAGGACTTAACAACGACCTGAGTTTTGCATAAATACTTGGTTACAAATCAACAGACAGATAACTTTTTAAGGTCATAATCAATCTTTTCTATTTTGAAATATAGTTCTAGTCTTAATAAGACGTTGACAAAATGGACTACAATGACTCACCGACCAGCGAACGGCAGCTTTCATTTTACAAAGACTTGCAGTATTGACACAATCACTTAATTAAACCGTTTTAAAGCACATTTCCTCGTCGTCATTGATTTAGACTTGATGGGTTGACCCATCAAGGTATAGGTTTATTGTAACCAAACGCACATTTTATAGCTGCAAATTGTTTCACTAAGTGACACCAGAGACATACATGTCAACAATGAGACGGCCCAGACTGCGGCTATCAAGGTTACCTGCTGGGGGTAGAACTCCGCTACATCACGCATCACTTTGTGAAAAATAAAATTGTATCATTATTTTAGCTATTTGTATTTATCTTAATATATTTTTAACTGTTTATAGGAGTTATGCTAAATTAGAAGATAGTAAATATTTCCTCCTGATATGGTCATATACCATATTGCTCACAAAACATATTAGGTTTACTTAAGGATGTAACACAGAACACAAGAGCCTAGATTTTTAGGATTTTTTGTGATGATAGTAGGTTTACCTAAATGGGACAGAGTCACTAATTTGACTTATTTTGTTGAAGGGCCACTCCAGTTTCATCACACACCTCGATTGGTCAGAAGACAGTCAGTACGTCAGAAGCAACTCGGGCGATTACGAACTGCTCTTCTGTAAGTGCATTTTAAGCTTCCAACTCTTGAATAAAATATTTGACATTTTAAACTAACCACATTTTCTATGTCAAGATGTAATTCATTATTAAGGAGTTATTTCTTTCTGTTGGAATAAGAAAGTACCCATGTCTTATTTCATATCATAGAGTACATCTTAGTATACATACAATAATGGGTGAGTAATTTCCTTAAAAATACTAGATTCATAAGATTACTTTTTCAATCTTTGAATGTAACATAGAGCACAAGGTTCTAGGTTATTGGATTTTTCCACCAAGGCTTCCACCATTAACTACCATTATCTCATCTTCATCGCTGTGCTGTGAGGACCTACTCTTGCCCATGGGCAGCCCCACTTGGCTGTAGGTCCATAATCAAATTTCTTAAGTTCCAGTATGTGACATAATCTAGTGAGTGGTGCACTTGACAGCGAGCTTTGCAGTTTAAATTCCAGATTTAACAAGCCTTGGCACAAAATTTATAGTTGCTTCTGGTGCTCCATTTAATTAAACTTAAATAAATTTTCTGGAATGCCGAGAGTTTTGGTAGTTTTTCACATTAGTTATTTTAGTACAAAGTAATTTTAAAATGGCAAATACCTTGATATAACAATATCATTTGTATGTTTTGTAAACGTCATATTTTTTGTTGTTCAGGGAATGCCGGTCTATGTCGCCAAATACCCCAGAGCGCTTCCATGAGAGATATACAGTGGGCGTCACAGAACTGTGTACTGTCTTTCTCAACTGTGGGAATCTGGCCAGAAAACGCAGATGGAACTGATGTGAATGCTTGCGAACGATCACACGACTCTCGGCTCCTAGCAACTGCTGATGACTTTGGCAAAGTCAAACTCTTCTCCTACCCAGTCACACAGCCCAGAGTAGGATATTGCTTACTGTTTGAAACATGATATTAGTGATGTTTGGGAGTTTAAATACAAATCCTAAAAAATAAAATCACAAATTTCAAATCCAAGTACAGTAAAACGTTAAAGGTAAAACCCTGACTAACCAAAATAAAGGGAAGAGAACCTATTTCTTTTAATAGATAATGGTTGAAATTTAATGGCTATTTCAGCAAGCACCTTAGCTGCCATGTCACTCCGATTGGGTGTCACGGACTCAGCAATGAAACATTGTACCATAGAAACACATGTTCCAAGCTAACTTGATTTTTGAAGACATTGGGATGTTTAAAATAGTTACATTTCAAGTCTCAAAGTTAGGTACTTAACAATTTTATTTTTAGAGCTGTTTAAACGAGGATTCCAACCAGTTACTTTGTTACTGACTTAAGATCAGCTCATTCTTAAGCCAGGATCATTTTGTTCAAGAGTAATGATACATTGGAATTTAAGATATAGCAAGTCAATTGCAGTTTAGTATATATGTTTTGCCTACACTTTGCATAATCTTGTTTTGCTGAGAATATTGAAGGTTTCAATAAGTACTGCAGATGTCTTTGACCAAAATGCATTTTTAAGTATCTTGTTTCTGTTTCAGTCGCTGTGCCACACTTACGGAGGCCACTCCAGTCATGTAACCAACGTCGCTTTTCTCTTTGACGACTCTCGTATAATCTCGATTGGTGGAAAAGACACAAGCGTTCTACAATGGAGACTAACGTAGTCAAACAAAATCTCTGATCTATACAAGCGATCATCACATACTTCACTCAGCATGATAAGTGGAGGATTTGAGCTGAGATGTTTTAATTTAATGTTTCAATTTTAAAATTTACAGTCTTGTCTTATACATCCAGTAAGAAAATTCAGGCAGAAAATATTAGTACCTAATAGCACAGTAAATACCTCACTTGATTTCTTCTGATCAAAACCTTTTGCTTTCTAGCTAATATTACTCAAGTGATTTGTCCCTGATAAGACTGAATGTTTTGAACCGAACTCAGTTCACTGAATCATACCAACACTTTAAAGTGACCTTCACTTCAGGATCTGCCGTCCCTGCAAAGTGCTTTTGTAGATTTTTGTATATTTATTTAATCATTTAAGTGTATTCTAGTTCCAACTATTTCTAAGAAAACGTATAGCCTAAATGTATAAAGAATAAGGTAACACATATTTATTATTTCCACATCAAATGTGGCCTAGGTACCAGCACATTCCATTTAATTGTACATTTTTAGAAGTCAGTTTAATTTTTAGATATGAAGAGTTTAAATTTTGTAATATGAGAGAATGTTTGAAAATAGACCTGCATAGTGCATGTTATGGAATTGTACGATATTACATATTGATTAATAGTTCAACAAGTAAAATAAATTTAGTGTTTTGAGTTCCACATATTTAATTTTATTCTTAAAAGCAGTTGTAATATTATTCACCTTCAAAGTTTTTTCTTGGATTTGTAAAACTCCTTTCCAGTTTGTAAGTTACAACACACTCTTTTAAACAGTTGTGTAGCTCTTAAGCAATGTGGAATCATGAAAAAATATAATTTTATAAATTTATTTTACATACTTTTAAACAGTGGTTTTATTTATTTCAATTGTAAATAAAATAAACTTTTGTTTAGAAATCAAACATGAGTAACAACACCTTGACTTTATCTTCTTCACTATTGACTTTAAAACTTAAAAAAAATCTATCAAGTATAAGTTGTTCTAGTAAAGCTCTGCTATCATTTGGGATCAATATCGGTAAATTGAATATGCTATTCTAATCATGTGAAAGTGAATGAAAGCTCTCATTAACTTATTATTCAGGTTACAAAATTGAAAAAATAGTCAGTTTTCATCATGATTTTATCAAAGAGCTGCGGCTTAGAAGCCCTCTAAGTTCGAATGATATTCTTATAGGCATTCAATTTTTACAATTACTTTATCATATACCAATTTTTATATTTGTCTCAAAATGTTTCCTTTTGTTTATTTTTGATTATTTAAAAAAGTTTGTTTTTGGGGTAACTAGCTGCTATAGCGGAGCTTTTCATTGGGAGTGTGATACATAAGAGAATTTTGGTAGGTACTTAGAAAATACTGTATGAATTTAGTTTCCACCATTTACTTGAGAAACAAAATTCTACTGTACCGTTTATTTTGGTAAAAGTCTGTTTTTGAAGTAACTATTTACAATAACGTGACCATGGGAACCTAGAGTGATTTGTGTATCACCAGAAACTAGATTTTTATTAAAATTGAGCAATCATTGAAAGAACCGATTTACAAATTATAACATAGAAAAGTCATAGAACGCCACCAAGTAAAAGAAATAGAGTTATTATTTTATTAAGAGTTTTGTTATCGTTAGTAGCCTACCTGATGAAGAACACAGCATTGATTCCCACGAACGGCGAACGAGAATGTTAGCCGAAGTATATCTTTGTGAAGTTTTCACCTTCAACAATATTTTTGGTCAAAAATGCTGTATTAAAATGTATTTTTAACTGCCTAAAAAATACTACATGGCATTTAAAGAGATTAGGCCTATGACGAAAATTAATCTTCGTCATACCTAGTTTTTAAGGGTGTCTGGCAGAGGGTTTAAACCGCACAAAGTGTCTGGCAATGGGGGAAATGATTTCTAACATTCCTCTGAAGAAAATATGAAAGAACCAAGCTTTATACTATAACGATGGTTATTTGCAAATTTCAGACCTTTGTTACCTTTTTGTTACCAAAGTAACCAAAATCCAAATGTCATAGTTGCCGATCATACTTAACTGAACTGGGAGCATTTGCTGAGAAACTTTCAGCTTTTATAAAATAACGAAGGTCTGGCAGTCATGGGCTCTTGCTCTAATAGTAAAAACTAAACATTTTTAACAATCTAGCAACAGCTGTAACATAATAAATATTAAAATAAAGTGAAGACCAAAGGCATCACAGCTGTGGCTAAGTTGACACCATATCAGCCCCCCGCAGAGACTGGAATTCCAGGAAGCTTGAGCTTTACATTTCGACCAGACCGAGTTGTATAGTTTCTGAACAATGATGCCGGGTTTGGAGGCTTGAGGGATGTGTTTGAAGGTTGAGGAGGCTCTTTGATTGTTGGGTGATTACATTTGTCAGGTAACACATACGCAGGCTTCACCCTGTCTAAGGTCACTCGCACTTGTTTGCCATTCTGTGATATTACTAAGGATTTTTCATCACGAGAAATTACAGGATATGGTCCGTTGTAGGGAGGCTGTAGAGCACGTTTCACAGAGTCATCTCTTAGAAAAACATCGGTGCACTTTCTAAGATCCTGAAATACAAAAGTTTTGGGTTTGACGTGGCGTGAAGCTGGGACAGGTCTGATTGAAGTCATGTGTTGACGGAGTCGTACAACATAATCAGAAGGATCTTCATGCCTGGGTCCGTCAACAGGGAGATCAAACAATTCTCCTGGAAGTCTCAACTGTTGACCGAAAACAATTTCTGCTGTTGATGCTTGAAGATCCTCGCGGTACGCACTTCTTATACCTAGGAGGACAATTGGAAGAGCTTCCAGCCAGGATGAATCATGATGACACATCAGTGAAGCTTTGAGGTGACGATGGAATCTCTCCACCAATCCATTTGCACAGGGATGGTAACTACAAGTCCTGATTCTTTCAGAGCCGAAAGTTTTTCCAAGGGACTTGAAGAGGGATGATTCGAATTGGCGGCCTTGATCAGTAGTTATTTTTTAAGGAGCGCCATAACGAGAAAACCAGCACGAGACTAGACCTTCGGCGACTTCTTCTCCAGTAATCCCCTTTAAAGGATGAACCTCAGGCTACCTAGTGTAACGGTCTATGACTGTAAGACAGTATTTGTATGGCCCTGCTGGTGGTAAAGGCCCAATTATGTCAACATAGATGTGCTCAAAACGTGATGATGGCAAAGAAAATGTTCCTAGAGGAGTATGTACATGTCGCGTTACCTTGCAACGTTGGCATCGCTCACAAGTACGAGCCCAGTTACGACAATCTTTTTGAATACTTGGCCAGACAAATCGATCTGTTACAAGCTTTGCAGTAGCTTTAATGCCTGGGTGGCTGAGGTCATGTAGCGAATGAAATACCCTCTTCCGTAGTTCCACTGGAATATAAGGTATTTGGGTTGAAGTGTCACAAAAGATGAATGAGTTTGTTCCTGGGATTTGGATCTTCTGTATGTTGAGAGATGAATTATTATTGTTTATGAGGTTGATGAGTTCGTCATCTGAGCTTTGTGCTTTGGCAATTGACTCAGGATCCAATGAACATGAAATAGCCTCTACACGTGATAAAGCATCGGCAACAATGTTTTCTGAACCTCCGATGTGTTTTATGTCTGTAGAAAACTCGGATATGAATGAAAGCTGACGTAGTTGAACGGGTGGAAGTTTCTCACGACGTTGATGGAAAGCAAAGATGAGTGGTTTATGATCAGTAAAAATGGTAAATGCCGTGGTTTCCAAAAAATGACGAAAATGTTGTACTGCTTCATACACAGCAAGAAGTTCACGGTAGTATGCCGGCCAAGAGCGTTGCTTTGGTGAAAGTTTCTGAGAGAAGAATCCAAGTGGCTGCCACGAATTTTCAACAAATTGTTGAAGGCAAGCTCCTACACTAACGTCAGAGGCATCTGTAAACAGTCCAAGAGGGGCGTCATGTTTCGGATGAAATAGGAGTGTCGCCGACAACAAACTAGACTTGCAAGCTTGAAACGCTTCCTCAGTCTCTGGGGACCAAGGCACAGGAAGTGATCCCTTGCTATTTGCACCACCAAGCAGAGAGTGTAAAGGTGCTTGGAGTTCTGCGGCTTTAGGTAAGAATCTACGATAGAAATTGATCATACGTAGGAACCGTCGAAGACCCCGCATTGTCTTAGGTAGTTGGTACTCCTGAAGAGCAGATATTCGGTCTTGTGGGGGGTAGACACCTGATGCTGAAACTTTGTACCCTAAAAACATCACTTCAGGCATTGCAAAAACACACTTGGACGAGTTTACAATAACGCCATAGGAATGGAGTCTTTTGAACAAAGTCCTAAGATATTGCTCATGCTCTTCAATTGATCGGGAAAACACTAAGATATCGTCAATGTAGCTGAACGTAAAATCTAGGTTTTGGGTATCTTCATCTATGAAACGCTGGAATGTTTGGCCAGCATTACGTAACCCAAAAGTCATGAATGAAAATTCGAAAAGGCCGAATGGAGTTGTGATAGCAGTTTTGCATATGTCATCTGGGTGTACAGGGATTTTTTGGTATGCTTTTACAAGATCTATGACAGAAAATACGTTACAGCCTGAAAGATTATTTGAAAAATCATGAATGTGTCGAACAGGATACCTGTCAGGAGTGGTGCGTGCGTTCAATGCACGGTAGTCTCCACACGGTCTCCATCCATTTTCTCCTTTTGGTGCCAGATGAAGGGGTGAAGCCCACGGACTGTCTGATGGATGTGCAGTACCACATTTTACCATGTCGGCAAATTCACTCTTTGCAATGCTGAGCTTTTCAGGGGCCAGTCGTCGTGGTCGGCAGAATACAGGAGGTCCTGGAGTCGTGTGTATGTGATGTACTGTCTGGTGCTTCACTTCTCAAGGCAATCCTGGAGGGCGAGTAATTTCAGGGAATTCATGCAAGATTTTAGAGAGGGGAGAAGTAGTGACTACGGATTTTACGCTACTTTGAGTCGTAACGGAGAGTTGTCCTCCTGTAACAAGTCCAGTTGTGGCATCATGAAGTCGCAACAATCGACAGTCAGGAAGCAAATGGTAGTAACTGAGGAAGTCTGAGCCAATGATTGGAACACTGACATCTGCAACTGTGAACTGCCATGCAAAACTACGGCAAAGGCCTAGGTCCAATGTCATAGAACAGGTTCCGTAAGTCTTGATAGTACTACCGTTGGCGGCACTTAGTTCAAAGTCTGTAGATGTGCGACGGTCTCGTAGAAGACGTTTGGGATAACATGATACGTCAGAGCCGGTGTCGATCAAGAACCGGAGATTAGACTTTTGATCCGAGACAAAGATTCTGCGGCTGGGTGCTTGACAGTCAGTTACTGGCCGTCCTTGGAGTTTCCCCCGTAAGAACAAGGAGAAGTACATTTTGACACGTGCTCACCAAATTTGGCATGATACCAGCAGATATGGCTTGTAGATTTGTGCTGATCTTGATTTGCGTATTTTGATGTTTTCTTGTTATGATTGGTCGAACGATCGTGCTGGAGGGATACTTCGAGTGCGCCAATCCTCTGCGCCAGTCTTGCAATAGCAGCAGTGAGGTCGTCATTTGACTTTGTGTGTTCACGAGTTGCCGTAGCATTTACTGATACTTGTGGTGAAACCTCAATGACTTTATCCGCTATATCCGCAAGTTTATCAAGTGGAAGTTCATTTTGAGCTGTGAGAATCGCTTGAATGTTAACAGGGAGACGACGTAGCCAGAGTGCTCGAAGGATGTTGTCCTTTAGTTGGGCTGGACCGAGCAGAGAACGTAGGTGGCGTAAGAACTGCGATGGCTTGCGATCTCCGATATCTTCATCGCTTATCAACTGGCGAACACAT